ACAGACAAATTGTTGGAGATCCAGAGAGACAAACAGAGACCTTTTACCTTGACCCAGTATTCGACCAGACCGGATTCCACAAGACGTCGTAACCCATGATTGAACTTGTACTTCCAGGCTGTGTTCTTTTGGAAGTACCAGCACAAGTAACTGGGGTACAGCTGCTCACTTAACATGTACGAGTTCTTTACCTGAAAGAAGAGAAAGAAAGAGTAAATCACAGGTGAGAAGTGGGGAGAGAGGGAAAAAGGAAGGGGAAGGGATGGAGTAAGATAATGGCATGCAAAGGAAATTAGCAAAACACTTATAATATTTTGAGATGGCAAAGAAACCTCATAAGACTCACTTCAAGCAATTGCCCTCATACCTTATAGTCCACAAAGAGGAGAATAAGATTATAAGAATAGCTTTCGATGTTGGCATGTGTTCTTTCACGCATGCCTTTCACGCAGGCACCATAGGCACTGAAGAGGTCCAGCTTCTCCCCGAGGGCCTTGTAGTGAGGGTCCTGGGACGACCTCAGGGCCCCGGGCACGAACTCCCCGTAGTCGAACATACACACCCTGGAGATTCATTGCGAAAAATAAAATGAAGGTATGAATGAAAATTAATCCATACACATTGTAGAATATCATCAAAAGACAGTTGATTTTTTTTTTTTTTTTCATGGTGAAAGTTAAAGAAACAAGGTGTGATTGAGAATGAGTACTACACATTCAAGATGAATGCAAGAGACCGCTGAACATTATTCATGGTGACAAAAGTATTAAATTCATAAATGAAAACGAATAAATCCGTAGTCGTACATCAACACCCTTGATATAAAATTCCTTGCAAAAATGAAGGAAAGGTATGGATGAGAATTGATTAATACACATCGTAGACCGAAGCTATCTTTTGGCATCATGTCTCTTATTGCTGTGTACGCTCCTACCGATGTTTGTAAACTTGACGCGAAAGATGTGTTCAACGCCAACCTTGCATCTCTGGCAGACAGATGTCCCCGGCGAGATATTCGCATTGTTCTGGGTGACTTCAATGTGGTATCTGGCTGTGATCGAGCTGGCTATGAGATGTCTGTCGGTCCCCATGGTTCAGGAGCTGATGCCAGCAGTGAGAATAGCCTCCTTTTCCGGGACTTTGCTTGGTCCCAGAAATTGAGGATTTCTGGCTCCAGCTACCAGCGCCCAGACCCACATCGCTGGACATGGTAGAGATGCGGGTAATGCAGCCAAGGAGAACGACCACATACTCGTTATCACTCGTTGGAGGATCCTTCAGAATTGCAGGGTGTACAGGAGTGCTGAGTTCTGTGGTACTGACCATAGATTGGTTGTGGCTACCCTCCAGGTCCACTTCAAAACATCCCAGCAGTCCAATGATCACCCTAGGGTGATTCATTTCGACAGGCTGAGGGATGGGGAGTGTACCCGCGGGTTTGCCGCTCGATAGTCTGGCGGACCCTGTTCTTTTGTGGGATACTTTCAAGCATGAAACACGTAATACAGCTCGAGACGATCGGTGTACGCCCAAGACAATTTCATCTCGCAGGAGACACTGGAAGCCACAGATGCTTGTCGTGCGGCTCGTCTGACAGGGGATAGGGAATTGCACCGTTCTCATGTGCGCAGAACTCGGTCTCTGTTAAAAAGGCTGGTTGTGAACCTATGGCACAGGGCTTACATGTTGCCAAAGCTGCCATCTGGCAGTCCAATACCATTCCTCCTGATCTGTTGGGGGGGGGGGTCATCCCTATCTGGAAGGGGAAGGGGGACTGTTGGGACTGCAGCAATCTGCTCAGTATACCAGACAAGGCTCTCGCCCACATCCTTCTGAGACGTATCAGAGACCATCTACTGAGGCACCAGAGACCGGAGCAATCTGGATTCACTCCTGGTAAGTCCACAATAGACCGTATCCTTGTGCTTCGAGTCATTGTAGAGCGCCGCCGTGAGTTCGGGAGTGGACTGCTTGTAGCCTGCATCGACCTCAAGAAGGCGTTCGATACGGTGCATCGGGAATCACTCTGGAAGATCCTGAGACTGAGGAACTCCAACAACGATTATTAGAATAATACAAATTGCGCATGTATACTAGTATTGGAAGTGCTATAATGTGTGATGGGGGCCTGTCGAGCTTCTTTCCTGTCAATTCAGGAGTGAGGCAAGGCTGTGTCCTTGCACCATCTCTTTTCCACACTTGCATGGACTGGATACTGGGCAGAGCTACTATTCAAAGTCATTGTGGAGCAATGCTGGGCAATATCAAGGTTACAGACCTTGATTTTGTTGACGATATTGCTATTCTATCTAAGTCTTTGGAAACCTTAGTGATGGCTCTGGATGCATTTAGCAATGAAGCGAAACCCTTGGGTCTAGAGGTCTTGGTCCAGGACTTAGGGGACTTGCTAGGAGAACCTGTTCAGTCGGCACATGCTTGCAGCAAGGACATTGAAGTCACAGAAAGCTTTACATACCTTGGTAGTGTAGTTCATAACTCTGGGCTGTCAGACCAGGAAGTCAGCAGACGGATTGACCTGGCAGCAGGGGTCATGAATTCTCTCAACAAGAGTATTTGGAGATGTCGGTACCTGTGCAGAAGGACCAAGCTACAGGTTTTCAAGGCCCTGATAATGCCAGTTTTGCTATACGGTAGTGAAACCTGGACGTTATCCTGTGACTTGGAGGCTCGTCTTGAGCCTTTTGTAAAAGGTCCTTGTGCTGGATCATGGGTTACTGTTAGCGGGACCATTTGTCCAACCAACGGTTGCACCGTGAGACTAGCACAGGACCTGTTATCTGCACAATCCGCGATCGCCAACTCAGGCTATACGGCCACTGGCTCACTTTCCTCAGGATGATCCTGCCCATCAAGTTGTCTCTGTTCGAGACAACCCTGGGTGGAGGAGGCCTGTGGGACGACCTAGGAGGTCGTGGCTTCGGCAGATCAACCAAACCTGTCGTGAAGAACTCGAGATATATATATATATATATATATATATATATATATATATATATATATATATATATATATATATATGTATTATATATATATATATATATATATATGTGTGTGTGTGTGTGTGTGTGTGTGTGTGTGTGTGTGTGTGTGTGTGTGTGTGTGAGAAGAAGAATGACTGGGGGAGGAGAAAAGAGAGGACAGAGAGACATTGAAGTGAGAGAAAGAGAAATAGATGAGAGAGGAAGAGAGAAGGAGAGAGAGAGAGAGAGGAAGGGAGGCATGCAGACAAATAGAAAAACAAACATAAAAACAGACAGAGACTTAAAAGACAGAGTGTGAATAGCTAACCACCTGTAATCGCTTTTCGCAAGCTCTTTGACGGTCTGGATCCGCTCGGGGAAGATCGGGATGGTGAGGAAGGCGACGAGGTTGGCCGTGAAGGCGCTGCTCACGATGAAGCAGTACAGCAACCAGGTCCCCACGAACAGGCGCTGCCACTGGGCCTTCGGCAGGCGCGGGATGCTGTTGTTGAACATCGCCCGCAGGAGGTACGGCCACGTCGAGCCCACGCCGCCCAGAAAGGGCACCGGCTGCATGTTGTCCTACGGGAACGAAGACAAAACTTGATGGATCCGAAGGAAATTCAACGAGAACTGTTTTACATATTTCTGATAATTATGTGGTTTCAAGAGTAAAACCATTCACATAAATTTTACTTTATCAGCCTTCCAATACCATTTTACAATGCTATTTTTTCTTCTTTGAACCTCAGTCGTAAGATGGTCGACTCTTGTAAAATGAAACATAAATGGTTGGTTATCGGCGTCTGGAATAGTTTCGGAAGTATGTTCATGACGTGTGGGAATTCTAGCAGCTGCAATGGCATGTCTGTGTTTGTTTTATACATATATATGTACTGTTATGTCTAAAACTAAAATCAGTGTTTATATAACCTTCAATTACCTGCAATGATCCTGTACCTGGACTGACATGATGATCAAGACGAGGACGAAGGTGACGGTGAGGGCAAGCCACACGGAGGGTGTGAAGGGATAGTAAACGCCCCTCCACTTCGGAAGCGGCGGCGGAGACAGCATCGACATCCCGAAACCCTCCATCCAGTAGGACACGGAGGCGTCGAAGGCGTCGACTCTCTCACCTGTGATACTGAAGTAGTTGACAGTGAAGTTCTTCTCCTTGCGGTGCACCATCCCCAGCATCCCCGTCCACGAGCCGTTCTCGAAGGCCCCCCACTTCCGGTCCGGCGCCTCAGCCGTTAAGTTGTACTTGAAGTCGAGCACTCTGGCCATGGCGTCGAGCATCTCAACCTCCACGCCGTCGCCGTAACCCTTTGGTTTCGTCTTCGACTTATAGAGGTAAGGGTAATCGTCCAGCGAAGTGCCGAGCTGGAACTCGTAACCTCTGAACGACTCGAAGCGGTCGACGAAGAGGTCTTCCCTCGAGGGAAAGGCCGCGTCGTCCCAGCTGCCAATGAGCTTGATTTTTCTCGCTTCGAACGGAAACGAGGTAAACATTCCTGACGTTGGTTCACTTCCTGGGTCTTTCAAGGAGGTCTTCTCTACAAGGAGTAGTCTCTCGACGCCCTTGAAGGTGTCGTCCAAGAGCAAGGCCTTTTTGGTCTCGTTCGACACGCTAAAGAAAAGCAGGTACTGAGGATTCCACTGGAGGGAGACCGCCTCAAAAAAGGGTCTTGGGTCGTCTTGGAACACGACCACGTGGACCATGAAGGCCCCCCGCAGCAGGTCCACCGGCTGCCCCTCCGACCACAGGGCCCCGTCCGACCCCAGGTCGACCAAGACGTGGGATGCGTTCCGGCCGGCGAGAAGACCTCGGACGCATTCCCAGACCGGCGGCTCCAGACTGGGGTCGAGGTAGAGCACCGCATTCCACCCTGCCAGAGGCCCTTCCACGATGCCCCTCAGAGACTCGAGATGGGAGTCCGGGTCGCCCGCACTCTGGATGATCCTCGACGTGAAGGACCCCGTGACGAGCGACAGGAGGAGGCAAGGGAGCAGCATCCTACAGGTAACTAACGGCAGGTCATCGCCAACTGACCGCTACTCGTCCGTCGTTGTTGCGGAAAGTCTTACTCGCCCCAAACTTGTATCGACTCTCGCTTATATTCGCTCGTCCTGTGAGGCGTGCGCATGCGCGGTTACAATGTTGATGTCGGGCAATTATCTAAGAAGCATTAATAGAAGATTGGCGTGGTCTATAAAAGTTCCCTTAGCATAAGAGTCCGTTATTCATATGCTTGTATAGATAAGTAAGAGATGTGCATATATAAGGACACATACACACACATATGTGTGTGTGAGCGCGTGTGTATGCATGTATGTATATGTATGTATATATACATATATATACACAAGTATGTATATCTGTATCTATCTATCTGTCTACATATATACATATATATATATATATATATATATATATATATATATATATATATATATATATATATATACATGTGTGTGTGTGTGTGTGTGTGTGTGTGTGTGTGTGTGTGTGTGTGTGTGTGTGTGTGTGTGTGTGTGCACGCACAAATATATATGTGTGTGTGCACGCGCACACGCACACATATATATCAGACTAATGAAAGACTGGATAGACTCAAACCATGCTGTCACAATATAAATGATTTGCGTGTTAGGACTTCCGTGTGGAACTAACTGTAAATTACGTCCAAACGTCGTCACTGCTGTTATCGTGTGCATAATAACTCCGCCATGTCTTTTCGACAAACGGGTTGGTGAGTGTGTCAATGTCTGGGAAAAAGTAGGGTTAATTGACTTCAATTTCGGACATTCGTTCGTGCGCGCGCTGTGTGTGTGTGTGTGTGTGTGTGTGTGTGTGTGTGTGTGTGTGTGTGTGTGTGTGTGTGTGTGTGTGTGTGTGTGCGTCGTGCGTGCGTGTGTGTGCGTGGCGTGTGCGTGTGCGTGTGTGATAGAGCAGTTCATCGACTCCACTTCGAGAGAGAGAGAGAGAGAGAGAGAGAGAGAGAGAGAGAGAGAGAGAGAGAGAGAGAGAGAGAGAGAGAGAGAGAGAGAAACAGACAAACTACTTTAGCCAACGCACGCCTTCACCGATGCTTTTGCACGCTCTTTCGCCGAAAAATTCTCGATACGCACAAACAATACTACGAGGATAATCATCAATCTCCGATTATAAATTACTGTACGTTTACGAAAGGTAAGATAAGTAATATAGATAAAATTACTCTATTGCTTTTATGCTTCTTCGTGTCATGGTAATATATATATATATATATATATATATATATATATATAATATATATATATATATATATATATATATATATATATATATATAATATTTGTTCTTTCCTTACTGCGCACTTCCTTTTTTGTGCCATGATTATAAAGAATTCTCTTTCGTTTACTTAATACCTCTCTTTTTGCAACTGACAAACTATTTTCTGGGAAGATACTACACAGTTTTTCTCTTAGTTTTCTTTGCTGCTAAAATCATATATGTATTGTCTTATAGATCTATATAGTAGAAGTAAACGTTAAAATAAACAATTATGTAACTATTTATATCAAAATTAAAGTCAGTCTCCGCAGTTACCATAAAAGAAAATTTATTATAGATACTGAGCGAAAGGAATAATGACGATGATACATCTAAATTGCTGCTGTATTTACTTATTTAATGGTAATATCATTTATAATGTACCTCACTGACATTAAAGCACAACACATTTGTGTTCGCCGCGCACTTGATATGTGCATATTACTTTTTTACAATATACCTGAAAAAAAAATGATATAACAAGTTTCGTCTCCACATGCACATTGCACAATGACATTGGCAAGCCCTACAAGTAAGAAGAGTTGGCAGCTCTAAATTACTTATGTTATCATAACGGTGGTCTGCCTTTAAAACATTTTTCTTGCATTCAACGTGAATTGCCAGATGATTCTTCACTAAATGGCTGTCATCTCGATAATGATCTGAAATTGATTAGTAGAGGTGATGGTAGCAACAGCGTGACTTAAACCAAGCCTCCCTATATTTAGTTATTCACAAATAGGATATATTCAAATACTGCTGATATGTTTTAATTATATTAACATTTAGATATTTGTCATAGATGGGAATGTATCTACCTTCCAGCGATGGTCTCCGAACACACCAGTAGTCTAGCAAAGGCCAACAAACTTAACCCTTTGTATTTGGGCAAGATTTGACTTTTTTGCAATCCTGTTCGGAGTGAACATTGAACTAGAATACAAGAATACTTCCAATTCCAGTATTTCATTCTTTCCACCTCCAGAAATTTACTTAGAATATTTTGCTACTCTTGATGAAGTGGGACTGATTATACGCAAAAGCCAATAAGATATGTATGTAAAGTGAGTATGTTACTTATGTTGATGTTAGCAGAATAGGAATCACTGGGACCGGACAAGTTTTTTTTTCTGAATATCGTTCTTCTCACTTGGTTAAGTCTTTGACTGATATATATTTAAGTTCATAGACATTGTTTAATTATTAAAATTCAAATGTATGAACTGCAGATTTCATTTCCATCTAAGGTAAATTGCGATGATGCATGTTAAACACTACACATGCCTCTGTTTACAGGAAGTATCTTTCCTTTGTATATCCTCTAGTTTTATTTTTTATTTTATTTTTTTACCTATGAGGGAGCTAGCAATAATAATTTCTTGGAAATAAAATATGAAATTATTTGATGGACAAAAGAATATTTATATGGAAATGATAACGTCTTTTTTTCTTTTCTTTTCTGATTCTTCAACCGGGAATAGCTTCATAGAACTCCATGTAAATATTTCAGAAGCATTCCTTTTATCCCCATGCATGAAATAACAAATACAGACTCTAGAGGTTGTATTGAATTCTCTGTCAGTATATCTAAGTTTGTTTGCTTTTTCTGGAATTATATTTATTCTAGGAAATCGTAATTTCCTAGAATAAATGCCATTTATTATATTTCATCAACTAAAAACAGAAAAGTAATGACTAAACATCTAATCAAAGCCCATTACATGAGTATGTGTCGGGATCAGAATAAGATTATATTTAAATCAAACTTCAAACAAGGATTCATCCTTATATGAAGGAACTTTATATTGCTTTAAAATATATCCACATTTCTCTCTTTAAATGCAATATAAGAAAGAAAACTTTTCCTTGGGTTCCTTTCCTACACTTGGCTTTCCTGCCCTTGCTTTCATTTCCTGTCGTTGCTTTCTTTTCCCATCCTTGCTTCCCTTTCCTGGCTTTGGCTTTTAAAGAATCTCCTATCTTGGCTCTTTCCTCTCCCCTGTTTGGCCTTGCATCTCTCGCTTTCCCACGATTCCTCTCTCCCCTGTGTCAAGGTACCCTTTCTCTCCTCTGTGTTATGGCACACTCTCCTGTTAGGTTGGTTCCCTCTAATTCTTTTCTGATGTACCTTTATGTGTCAATAGACCTGTTGACATAAAATTAAACTTTTCCTTCATTTACAACTTCTAATAGCTAGAAAACACATGCAAGCCTACTGACATGTAATAGTGAGAGATATGCAAGATCGATAGGTATATAAGTGCAATCTAGCACATTATAGCTAATTAGGCGGAAAAATCAAGATTTATCAAGCACCAAAAGTAGATTCCTTACTATCTGATATGCAACACTAATCATCCAATACAATCTCGCAAAATTCTAGTTTTTTTTTTTTTTTTTTTTCTTTTTTTTTTAATATATCTTTAAACACGTATTCCGAGTATTCTCTAAATTTTGTTTAAAGCCAGTCCGGCGTTCCTATGGCAGTGTGACATCACGACTTTACCACTCCATTGGAACTCAGCCTTTGTTATTTGTAGTGCAAGAATTCAGTGAACCACCCGGGTGGCTTATACCTTTCACTGGTAAGTAGCAAGGGTGGCTTGTCCACCACCTGTGGTCCTTGTTTTGTTACCTAAACCCTGACTACTGCAGTTCCTGCAGTTGTGCTTCTTTGACTGATACATGACGAAATACGTCACAAAAAAGGGTAAACAATATTTGCTCGTCATATCACATGCAGTGTATGTGCAATACACGCAGAGGGCATTAAATAAGCTCTGTAAATTTCGATTTGTCAAGTAACTTATTGTATTAAGTGACAATATAAAGATAATTAACAATCAGTTCTTAGGATTACCACAACTATACTGGTCTTTCAAAAGATATTGGAATTGTAGCTAGTTTTCCTTTCGCCTTATACTGAACATGGTCGTTCACTCTGTTGCTCTCTTACGTTTACCTCTTCTTAACTCTCAGTCATGTTATCACTCCTTTCTTTCTCTCGCTTACTTTCCTCTACTATCATCTATTGTTCTAGCCTTCACTCACTCACTCTTGCTTCCATAGTTTCTTTCTCTTGTTTTTTTCATACATGGTCATCATATTTCTGGGACCAAGTAACATAGTCTGATGTTGCTTTGTGTCATCACCTTTCATAGTCTTGGGATCACCGAGGTCCATGTTCAAACAAAGTGGTATGATCGTGTGTGAACTACATACCAAATTATTTTACCATTCAACACTACCCCACCCCCTATACCACTACAATACCCATCCCATCATTGTCCTTCCTGTCACATCAGTGTCCTTAAAACTACATCAATAACATGCATATTGTAGTATTGCCCTAGCCACAATACTGCTGCTCCATCCACTACTCCCGAGACTTGTCCAGTAAACTGTCCCATCTTCAGTCCCATCCACTACACCAGTGTCTCATCCCGAACATGACTTCCCACCCTATACACCACTGCCTACCTACAAAAACACTGCCATACCCACTACACTATTGTCCTTCACTATTTACTGCTCCACACATTACATATATGACATGCCTATTATACAACTTCTCGACCCACTCCACCACAGCTCCACCCATTACACACCATTGTCTACATGAAATACTATGTTCCCACTACTCCAATTCCTCGCCGATAGTATATTATACCATTGCCCCACTCAATACAAAACTCATCAT